GTGGGTTGGTTTGGCCTCGGCCTTGCCAGGCTCCCGCGGGCAGAGGCGCTGGAAGCTGTCACGAGTGGGGGGCTGTCGCGACGGGGGGGCTGTCGCGACTTCCACGCTCTCCCAGGGCGTAGCTGGAGATGATTCCAGAGGCCATCCCGGCCCGGGGGGGCTGTAGGAAGGAAGAAGGAGCCTGTGGGGAAGGGAGGCGAGTCCCCACACAGGCTGTGGTGCCCGGGGGGGTCCGTGAGGGCGAGGCAGTGCCGGGGGAGCAGAGCGAGTGTCCCCAGTGGGATGGGGGGGAAATCACAGGGGTGTGACCTCGGGGGGGGGGAGAGATCAGCCCCCAAAGTGCTGGGGGGGGTGTGTCACAACCCCCCCAAAAAATGCAGCGGTGTTTCCTCCTCTGGACAGCCCGGAACCGATCAGGATTTATAAAAGCAGCAGAGCCCCCCTCCCAGCCCCCCGGGCAGCCAGAGCTGACCCCGAGCTGTGCCCTCCCAGGACGAGGCCGCGGCCTTAACGCTCCTGCTTCCATCCCAGAGGGACCCAAATCCCTCCCCAAATCCCCCCTGGGTGCCCTCGCTCCGCTCCGGGGCCCTGTGGGTTTGTTCAGGTTTGGAGTGTTGTTTTCCCGTGGCCGGGATTTTCCAACCCCTTGGTGCAGTGGCACGTTGGGAATGCTCCTTGTTGGGAATGCTGAGGGTGAATCCCAAGGGGAATCGCTTTGCATTGGTGTCCGGAGCCCCTGGGAAGAGCCGAGGGGACCTCCCTTCCCTCCAGGGGACCTCCCTTCCCTCCAGGGAACCTCTTTTCCCTCCAGGGAACCTCTTTTCCCTCGGCTCTGTTCGACTTTTCCTCCCCGGAGTAACCAAACACCCGAATTTCCGCTTTCTCCCAAATCCCCCTGGGCTGTTCCCGGCTCTCCTGGGAAGAGGGAGAGGGGGGAGCTTCGCGTGTTTGGGCACGTTCGTCGTGACAGAGGCAGAGGAGGGGGAAGCCCTCGGCGAGCGCAGAGGCTTGGTTTGGTCCGGGGTGGTGGTTGGAGGGTCCCCGCTGAGCCAGGCCCGTGTCCGCCCCGCCTGCGGGGCCGGGGGGGCTTTCTCTCGGCAGTGGAAGACCTGGAGCGGAACGACGGCTCGGCGGAGAAGCCCTACTTCATGTCCCCCGACCTGAGGAAGCTGCTCAAGAAGACCAACGCGGGGCAGGCGGACGCGTAGCCCCGTCCCGGCCTCCCCCGCCGCCCGGCCCCTCTGGAATTTGCCTTCCTGGACCTCGGACCCGCTGGGTTCCTCCCGCGAGGGGGGCTCGGGGGAACGGGGATTGTTGAGAATCCGGCCCCGGAGCGTCGCGTTGGTGACGGCGAGCGCCGGAGCTCATCGGTGCCGCCGGCCGGCCCGGGGCTCTGGCAGGGGCAAAGTCCCTCCTCCCGAGGTGCTGGTGACTCCAAAACGAGCTCCGTTGGGTTTGATCCCGTTCCTTTATCCTGCTAAACGGGTGGCGTGGCCTCCGGCCCGGCCGCGTGTTCCGCGTTCCCTCGGCGCTCCGGCAGATCCGGGCGCGGAGGTGACGGGAGAACGAGCCGGGAGGGTCCGGGCGGCTCCTCCAGGGGGTTTTTCAGTCGTGGCCCCCCCCAAAATGTTGAGCTGCAGTTGGTGATTCCATCCGGAGAGCGGGAACGGGCTGGAATGGCCTCCCTGCTCCTGCCGCCCTCCGGGGACGTACCAGGGCCCTGTTTGGGGCCCCAACTAATTAATTCTTTTAGGAATAAGCTAATTAGTGCTTCTGTAGCCGCCTGTCGGGGGTGGGGGTGGAGGGGAGCGAGGGGTCCCCGGGCAGAATTGGGGGGTTGAGGCTCTGGCTGGTTCCTGCACCTCCTCTCCAGGACCGGCGGCTTCCGCCGATTCCTCCCCAAAATCCGCGTCCCGGTCCCCAAAACCCGGCAGTTTGGGGCAAACCCTTCCCCAGAGGCTTTGCCTTTCGGGAGAGGGGGTGGTGGGTGGATCCGGGCGGGTTTTGGGTTCGTTTTGGGTGGTTTTAGCAAACCCAAGGGCAGCCAGCGCCTCGCTCCTGCCCGAGGGAAGCTCCAGGGCTTTGGCAGCTCCTGGCACGTGGGGGAGAAAAAAAGGGACTTTTGGGGGCTGAGAGGGGGCTAATTAACTCTAAAATACAACTAATTAACCCCAAATCATAACAGAATGAACCCCCCCTGGAGTCCCTCGAGCTTTTTATCCCGGTTCCCTCATGATCTTGGGGGTTTGTGTCAGAGGGGGGAACGTTTCGATGGAATTATTCAGTGCTTTGGGGGCTTTTTTGTATATTTTGCTTTTCCGAGGCGTTCTCGGTTCTCTAGTTGATATTTTGAGCTTTTCCCGGGAATTCTGGGGACAGGTTTTGGGCTCTGCTGCCGCCGGGCCGGGGATCAAACGCTGTAATTTGCTTAAATCCCCCCTTTTTTCCCCCCTCTCCTGTCTCGGTGCAGGTGATCGGTGCCCCGGGGTAGGGCTGGACAGGGAAGGGGAAGGGGAAGGTGAGGCCAGGGAAATGAAGGAAGAGGTAAAATTAAGAAGGTGAAGGGAAAGTAAAAAAAATGAAGGGAGAGCTTAAAAACAAAAGGGAAAAAGTAACGGCGAAGCTCTGCAGGAAAAAGGTGAAATAAGGCTCTGTTTGGGGTAAGTGGGAATAATTCGGGGAATAACGACCAGGCTCCGTGACACTTCCAGCTTTTCCAGCACCTCCAGCCAGTGTTTCCTGCTGCTGGTCCTGAATTAACTCACTTTGTCCCCTCCCTGTGCAGGTTTCGGGGGGGTTTGGGCTCAGTTTCCACTCGGAATGTCCCTGTCGGGGGTGAATTCCCTCTCGCCCCTCCACTCTCAGCTGCTTTCTTCCCAAATCCAGACCCTTTGGGGGTGGAAACGCTGCTGGAAGCAGCCGAGGAGCGTCAGGAGCTCTGTTTACTCCAAAAGCCGAAACGCAGCGGGGACTGGGAGGGCTGGAAGTGGTGGAGGAGAGAAGGAATTTGGGAAAAACGCGTTCTTGGGGACGCGGCCGGGCTGGCTCGGCTGCCTCCCGGCAAAGGAGGGACTTGAGGGGAGAATGAAGGATTTTTAATTCCCAAGAAGCCCGAAGCGGTTTGGTTTTTTTTCTTTTTAAAGGTGAAAACTGCACGTGCCGGGAGCTCCGGACGGGGGGAATATTCCTGTCAGGTTTTTTTCGGGAGAGCTGAGAGCGAGGGCAGCTGTCCAGGGGGATTTTGGTGTCGGGAAAACCTTCACACTCCGCGGCCTGGGCTCTTTCTTCCCAGAGCTTGCGCTCGAGGCATTAAACGACCCGGTTTTTTTTAGGAATAACGGTGCTTTTTGCTGCCTGGAAATGCAACTCCTGTCCCTACAACTCCTTCCCCGGATCGGGGGCCGGGCGAGGGGGGGGGGAAAAAACCCCTCAAAAATGCTAAAACCCGCAGGGCTGGTGTTCTACACCAAAATACTCATTTTTTAAGCGCGTTTCTGAGGCATTAACGACGCTGGTGCTCCGGGGGGGGTCCGTCGGTGTCGTGACCAACAATAAAAAAGTGCCTGTTTGGAGCTCGCCTGGTCGTGTCCTTCCCTCCCACCTCAGGGCTCTGTGACCCATCCCGCCGGTTTTCACCCCAAAACAGCACACTTACTTCAGTTTTGGATTCAAAAAAAAAAGCAAAACGCGTTTTTGAGGTCGAACCCCTCCGAAAAAGGTGTTTTTGAGGTCAATCCTCTCCAAAAAGAGGTGGTTTTGAGGTCAAACCCCTCCAAAAGAGGCTTCTTTGAGGTCAAACCGCTCCAAAAGCCGGTCGTTTTGAGGTCAAACCCCTCCGAAAAAGGTGTTTTTGAGGTCAACCCCCCCCCCCCAAAAAAGCAGTCTTTGAAATCGTTTCCCTTGGTTCCTTGTCAGAGAAGAATCTTACCGCTGAGCTCCTCTGCTCAGGTCCCCCCGGGAGTTCCCTCAGGTGTGTCCCCTCAGGTGTGTCCCCTCAGGGGGGTCCTCTCAGGTGTGTCCCCTCAAGTCTGTCCCCTCAGGGTCCCCTCACGGGGTCTCCTCAGGGGGGTCCCCTCAGGTGTGTCCCCTCAGGTGTGTCCCCTCAGGTGTGTCCCCTCACAGGGTCCCCTCAGGTGTGTCCCCTCAGGGTCCCCTCAGGTGTGTCCCCTCACGGGGTCCCCTCAGGTGTGTCCCCTCAGGTGTGTCCCCTCAGGGTCCCCTCAGGTGTGTCCCCTCAGGTGTGTTCCCTCAGGTGTGTCCCCTCACGGGGTCCCCTCAGGTGTGTCCCCTCAGGTGTGTCCCCTCAGGTGTGTCCCCTCACGGGGTCCCCTCAGGGGGGTCCCCTCAGGGGGGGTCCCCTCAGGTGTGTCCCCTCAAGTCTGTCCCCTCAGGGGGTCCCCTCAGGTGTGTCCCCTCAAGTCTGTCCCCTCAGGGTCCCCTCAGGTGTGTCCCCTCAGGTGTGTCCCCTCAGGTGTGTCCCCTCAGGTGTGTCCCCTCACGGGGTCCCCTCAGGTGTGTCCCCTCAGGTGTGTCCCCTCAGGGGGTTCCCCTCAGGGGGGGTCCCCTCAGGCCGCCCCCCCCGCACCGGCCCGTTCCCGCCACCGCTCTCGGCCCCGCCCCCCGCACACCACCCTCCCTCCGCCCCCTCCCATTGGCGCCGCCTCCTGCCCATCACTCCTCTCTGCCCTCTCCCATTGGTCCGCGCCCTCCGCCCCCCCCTCGGCCCCGCCCCTGCTCCCTGTCCATCACCCTCCCTCCACCCCCCTCCCATTGGCTCCGCCCCCCGTCCGTCACCCCCCTCCGCGCTCTCCTATTGGCCCGCGCCCGCCGCGCTCCTCCGGTGGCCCCGCCCCCCTCCCCGGCGCGCGCGCGCCCCCCAGCGGCGGCGGCCCCGCCCCCGCCGCAGTCCCGGCGCCGCCGCTCCGGCCCCGCTCCGGCCCCGCTCCGGCCCCGCTCCCGGCCCCGCTCCGGCCCCTCCGGCCCCTCCCGGGCCCCCGCCGGCCGGGCCGGGCCGGGCCGCGCCCCCGAAGCACCGCCCCCGGTAAGAGCCGTGCCCGCGCCGCGCGGGGATCGGGGAGGGAGAGGCGCCGGGCCGGGCGGGCCGGGCCGGGCCGGGCGGGGGCGGTGCCGGGGCGGGAGGAGCCGGGGTGTGCGGGGGAGAACGAGGCGGGCGGGGGGGGGCGGCGGGACGCGGTGACCCGGCCCCCGCCGTGTCCCCTCCCTCCCGCCCGGCCCATTGTGTGCAGACAAAATGGCGGCGGTGAGTGAGGGGAGGGCGGGGGGCGCGGGCCGGGCCCCCTCACGGACCCCCCTCGGCGGCCGCCCCGAGGGACGGGGCGGGGGCGCGCCGAGCCGGAGGGAGCGCGGGGGTCTCCCGGGGCTCCCCCCCGAGCCCCCTCGCTGCCCGCCGCCGCCGCCGCTTTTGTTCGCGCCGCGTTTGCAAATGGCGGCAGCGCCCGGCGGCCCCCGCGCCCCCTCCTCACCCTCCGCGCCCCCTCCTCACCCACCGCCTGCTCCCCCTCCTCACCTCCTGTATCCTTCCTGCATCCCTCCTGTGCTCCCTCCTCACCTCCTGCATCCCCCCCGTGCTCCCTCCTCACCTCCTGCATCCCTCCGTGCTCCCTCCTCACCTCCTGCATCCCCCCGTGCTCCCTCCTCCCTCCTAACCTTCCTGCACCCCCCTGTGCTCCCTCCTCAACTCCTGCCATCCCCCCTTTGCTCCCTCCTCACCTCCGGCATCCTTCCGGCAGCCCCCCGTGCTCCCTCCTCACCTCCTGAATCCTTCCTGCATCCCCCCCGTGCTCCCTCCTCACGATCCTCCATCCCCCCCGTGCTCCCTCCTCACACCCGCATCCCCCGTGCTCCCTCCTCACCTACTGCAAATTCCCCCCCGTGCTCTCCCTCCTCACCTCCTCCATCCCCCCCGTGCTCCCTCCTCACCTCCGGCTCCCCCGTGGCTAACCCAAATACAACGATACACAACTACCATCCAGAAAAAAAGGAAAAAAAAGGAACAAAAATTTTATAGTATTAGTTTTATATATATAGTTTTTATTATAATTCCAGTTTTGATCTCATTTTTTTTTTGTTAATTTTTTATTTATTTGTTTTTTTATATATGTTTGAGTATTTCCCTCCGTGCTCCCTCCTCACCTCCTGCATCCCCCCGTGCTCCCTCCTCACCCCCTCCATCCCTCCGTGCTCCCTCCTCACCTCCTCCATCCCCCCTGTGCTCCCTCCTCACCTCCTGCATCCCCCCTGTGCTCCCTCCTCACCTCCTGCATCCCCCCTGTGCTTCCTTCTCACCTCCTGCATCCCCCCTGTGCCCCCTCCATCCCCCCTGCATCCTTCCTGCATCCCCCCTGTGCCCCCTCCTCACCCCCTCCATCCCCCCTGTGCTCCCTCCTCACCTCCTGCATCCCCCCTGTGCTTCCATCCTCACCCCCCTGCATCCCCGTTGTGCTCCCTCCTCACCTCCTGCATCCCCCCTGTGCTCCCTCCTCACCTCCTGCATCCCCCCTGAGCTCCCTCCTCACCCCCTGCATCCTTCTTGCGCCCCCTCCTCACCCCCTGTCCCCCTCCTCACCCCCCAGGCTCCTTCGGGGCCCCGCACACGTGTGGGGTTGGGGTTGGGGGTCCCTGGAGGGGTTTTGAGTGGGGCTGCTCCTTTCCTGACCCCTTCAGCCACCCCTGGGGGGAGAGGTGTGTGTGTGGGGGGGGTCACGGAGGAGATGGGATCATCCCACCTCTTCCCCCCGCAGGCCACCCCGTCACAGCCTGGAAATTGGGGTCGGACCATCCCCTTTGGAGGGAATTTGAGGGCCCTCTCCCCCCTCAGGACCGGGATCCCGCTCTCCTCCCCGCGGTTCTTCCCAGCCTCCCCCTCTGCTCCCTCACAATTCCCGCTGTTCCAGCCTGTTATCCGTGCCTGCTCTGGTTGGGGATGGTTTAGGAACAGAACAATCCCTTCTCCATGGCCTCGTCCCCCCCCCTCGCTCCGGGATTCCCGCTGGAATCCAGGCCCCCGGATCCTCCCCTGCGAGGGTTCCGTCCCGGGCAGGCACCAAAACATGGATAAAAGTGACCAGTTCTTCCCTGAAACCCAAACACAGCTTCGCCTGTGCCGGACTTTCCCGTATTTAGGGCACAAATTCCAGCCTTTTCTCTCCTCCATCCTCCCAACCCCACGTTTGGGAGGGTCAGGTCACTCAGGAGGCTCCATCCAAGCGGGAATTTGGTGGATTCCCGCTGGGGGAGAGCGAGGCAGGCAGAACTCCAGGCAGGTGGAATTCCAGAGTTTCTCCTGCTGGATCTCCAAGGCAGGATCAGGATCCTGGTTTAACTGATCCCGGGGTTCTTTTCCCCAAGAGATGCGACTCCAGCGGTGCTGCGGCGTCAGCTCCCGGAGGGGGATAACGGGATAACGCCCGTCCCAGGACCCCTGGGAGACTCCCGGGCTGTTGGGATGTTTCTGACCGTCGGACCAACCTGCTGGAATTCCAACCCTTTCCCTACAGGGCCTGGAGGGGGTTTTAAGGACAATAACGTGTGTCCGGAGCGCGCGGGGCGTTTGGGGCCAGCCCGGAGCGGGAGGCGCTGGAAACGCCGGGAGATGCCGTGGGGATCCTTGGGAACAGCTCTCCCTGCTCGGCTGGTGCCAGGCTGGGGTTAATTACGGTTGGATCCAAACTGATCCCGCTGTTGAATCGTCCTGGGGACGAACTGGCAGGATTGGGATCGGGGGGGGGGTTTCCTTGGCGTGGAATCCGCGCGGCGGCTCCAGGGAAGGAGTTTTCCCGGGTTTTTTTTTTTTCCTATTGCTGGTTTTGAGCCCCAGGTTTGGGTGGGGAGATTCCAGTGGGAGAAGGCCAAGGAGTCTGGTTTGGGGGCGAGGGAAGCTCCCGGAAAAGGGAAGGGGGTTTGGTTGGGAGCACTGGGATAACGCCGGCGGGATCCACCCTCTCCAGGTGGGGTTTGGATTTGTTGGGGTTTGGTGGTAGAAGGAAGTGGAGCAACTGGTGGAGGCGGAGGAGGATGATCTTCATCACCCTCAAGTGCCGAGGGCCGGCGTTTTCCAGCGCTTTTCCACGGCACTTCCCAATCCTTGGAGTCACCGAGAGCCGGCGGGCGTTGCGGGGCCGGGCGGGGGCAGGTGGGGGGAAATCAGGACTTTAATTAACTTTATTGGGTCCAATTAACAGCCCTGGATGGGGCAGGTGCTGATCCTCAGCCTGGCCTCGTGGGAATGATGCCGGAGCCGATCCCGGCGGGCACGAGGCGGAGTCCGGGGCAATCCCAGGATCCAGACGTTCCTCTGCTCCGAGGAACAAAGCGCTGGAATTGGAACAAAAGGCTCTGCTGCCCCGGCTGGGGGTGGATCCCTCTGAAAGCGGCTCCTCGGGCAGGAATTTGGTGTCTTTTGGGCTGAGTCTGTTGAATTTTATGAGTTTTCAGCGCTGACTTCCCACCCGGATTTGCTGCTCGGAGTTTATCCTGGAACTTCCTCCGGGAAAACTCAGGGAAGAGACTCGATGCAGCCTCTGGACTTGGGTTGTTTCTTAATTAACAGCCAACGAGGCGACTTTGGGGCTGTGAAATGGATTTGGGGTAAAACCAGGGATCTGGCAGAGGGATCCATGCTGGGATCTGCCTGTGGATCTGGCAGAGGGATCAAGGCAGGGATCTATCCCTGGATCTGGCAGAGGGATCCGTGCTGGGATCTGCCCCTGGATCTGGCAGAGGGATCCGTGCTGGGATCCATGCTGGGATCTGCCTGTGGATGTGGCAGAGGGATCCAGGCAGGGATCTATCCCTGGATCTGGCAGAGGGATCCGTGCTGGGATCTGCCCCTGGATCTGTGCTGGGATCTGCCTGTGGATGTGGCAGAGGGATCCATGCTGGGATCTGCCTGTGGATGTGGCAGAGGGATCCATGCTGGGATCTGCTTGTGGATGTGGCAGAGGGATCCGTGCTGGGATCTACCTGTGGATCTGGCAGAGGGATCCAGGCAGGGATCTATCCCTGGATGTGGCAGAGGGATCCGTGCTGGGATCTGCCTGTGGATCTGGCAGAGGGATCCGTGCTGGGATCTGCCTGTGGATCTGGCAGAGGGATCCGTGCTGGGATCTGCCTGTGGATCTGGCAGAGGGATCCATGCTGGGATCTACCTGTGGATCTGGCAGAGGGATCCGTGCTGGGATCTGCCTGTGGATCTGGCAGAGGGATCCGTGCTGGGATCTGCCTGTGGATCTGGCAGAGGGATCTGTGCTGGGATCCCTGTGTGAGGAGCAGGAAGAGAGGCACAGCTGACTCTTCCCTCGTTTGGTTCATTAATTAATTAGCCATCCTGGAGCAGCAGAGGGTTCTGTCTGGTTTGGGGACGGGAGCAGGAGCTTTAGGGAAAATCTCATTTCATTGGAAAACCTCTTGGGAACAAGAGGGAATAAGGGATTGGGCCCTCAGAGGGGTGTCTGTGCCCTGTAGGGCGCCGAACCCTCTGGAAGCATTCCGGGGGACACCCTCCGGCTCTTCGGGATACAAATCCTTGGGAGCAGAGACCTGGGCTTTGGGCTGGGAGTTGGCATCCCCGGAATGGCCGTTCCCGCTCCCCAGCCCCGCTCACCCGGCTCCCCGTCCCTTCCAGCTCCCGGAACGCCGCGGTGCCGCCCCGGTCTCCCCGCTGGAAAAGTCCACATAAACGCCTCTGGAACGCTCGGAGGGACGTCGGGAAGCAAAAATGGTAAGAGACGGGGGGGGATTCCCGCCCGTGGGACGGCCATTTGTGTCCCGGGGCACCCCTGACTTGTCCCGAACTCGTCCCTTGGCAGCGCCCGATGCGGATCTTCGTCAACGACGACCGGCACGTGATGGCCAAGCACTCGGCCGTGTACCCCACGCAGGAGGAGCTGGAGGCCGTGCAGAACATGGTTTCCCACACGGAGCGAGCGCTCAAAGCCGTCTCCGACTGGATCGACGAGCAGGAGAAAGTCAGCGGGGAGCAGCCGGAGTCGGAGTCCATGGAGACGGCGGCCGAGGAGGAGAACAAGGAAGGAGGGTGAGGAGAACAAGGAAGGAGGGTGAGGAGAACAAGGAAGGAGGGTGAGGAGCGAAGGGCGCCGCCGGCATCCCTGAAAATCAGGGGGGGGGAAAAGTTGTTTTCCTTGGCTGTGGGATTGGGGGGAATCAACTGACGACTGTTGGGGGTGGGTGTGGTAAATCCATCCCTGGTGAATCCCCGTGGATCCGTCCCTTAGGTCGGGTGGGGCGGTGCATTCCGTGGGGTTTGAGTGTGTGCTGTGTGTTTTCAGGGATCAGAAGGCCACGGAGCAGCTGACGAGGACCCTGCGGGGCGTGATGCGCGTGGGGCTCGTGGCCAAAGGCCTCTTGCTCAAGGGGGACCTGGACCTGGAGCTGGTCCTGCTGTGCAAAGACAAACCCACGGCCAAGCTCCTGGAGAAAGTCGCCGACAACCTGGGGGTGCAGCTGGCGGTGAGTGGGGCCGCCACCGGAATTCCTTTGGGGTCGCTCCGGTTCCCGCCTTCCGGCTCGGGAAAGTCGTTTTCAGTGGTTCTTTGGGATTGTTAAACGAACTTCTCATTGATCAGGAAAGGTTTGGGTTGGAAGGGGCCTTGGAGCTTATCCCATCCCACCCCTTCCACCAGCACACCCTGCGCTATCCCAGGTTGCTCCAAGCCCCGTCCAACCTGGCCTTTGACGCTTCCAGGGATGAGGCAGCCACAGCTTCTCTGGGAAGCCCCAGCCCAGCCCCTCCCCACCCTCACAGGGAGGAATTCCTTCCCAGTATCCCATCTAACCCCGCCCTCTGGCAGTGGGAAGCCATTCCCCCTGGTCCTGTCCCTCCAGGCCCTTGTCCAAAGTCCCTTCCCAGCTCTCTTGGAGCCCCTTTAGGAGAGGGCCTTTAGGCTCCCCCCAGGAGGGGCTCTAAGGTCTCCCTGGGGCCTTCCCTTCTCCAGTTGAACATCCCCATCTCTCCCAGCCCGTCCCTGGAGCAGAGGTGCTCCAGAGCCATGGAATCATGGAATGGTTTGGCTTGGAGGGGACCTTAAAGCTCCTGCATGTCCAGGGATCTCCAACCCTCTGCCGTGGGCGGGCAGACACCTCCTGCAGCTCCAGGCTGCTCCAGGCTGCTCCAGGCTGCTCCAGGCGCTGGGCTTTGGCCGGGAAGGGCCGCGGGAAGTCTCCCGGCTCGGGAGCTGAGCGGGGCCGTGGCGTTGCAGGCGATCACCGAGGACAAGTACGAGGTCATCCAGTCGGTGGGCGACGCCGCCATCGTCATCAAGAACACGAAGGAGCCCCCGCTGAGCCTCACCATCCACCTGACGTCGCCCGTGGTCCGGGAGGAGCTGGAGAAGCAGCTGGCCGGAGGTACGGCCGGCCCGGGCCCGGCAGGGCGCGGCGGAGCACCGGGAAAGCGTGCTCTTCAGCTTCAGCCGGAGCCCGGCAGCTCCCTCTGGGCCAAATTCCAGCCAAAAAAAATTCCTTGGTTCCGCCAACCTCATTACGGTCCCCGGTTGCGGTTCATCCGGGCCGAGCGCTCCGAAGCTGAGGAGCACCTTTCACGTGGGATTTTGCTCTTTTGATTTTTTTATTTATTTATTTATTTATTTTCCAAGTATCGTTGTTATTTTATCCTTTGTTTTGGTTCCACTTGGGCCTTTAGTTCACTAATCCATCATCTCGTTGTATTACTCGTGGTTTGTCCCCGGCCATGTCAGTGCAGTGACATGAAAATAGAAAGCGGATTTGTTTAAAAAAAACACCCCCCCCCCCAAAAAAAACCACCACCCTCTCGAAGGCTTCTTGTCCGAGGAGTTGCATGTCCATGAACCGGGGATGTTCCGGGATGTCCCCCCGGTGTGTGTTGCAGCAGAACCACGGGTGTGCTCGGGGCCCCTCCCGCGGCTCTTCCAGCACCTCAGGTTCAGTTCTCCGGGAAGCGATGCAGAGTTTTGGATAAAGTTAGCTCCTCCAAATTCCCTTTGGGGTCAACAATTCCCAACAACCGCTGGTTGTTCGCTCCGATTCCGATGGGCTCCGTAGGGCCGGCGGGTTCCCCGCTCTGCACTAGCCTTATCTAAAACCCTGATCTCCAGCAGCTTCGGGCGACTTTCAGGCCCTTCCTCAGTTTTGCTGCAGCACAGACCGGGGCCCTCGTTGTGCTCTTGACTGTTGATCTCTGGTGTTGATCTCTGACCTCGTCTCCGAGCCTTCTAGTTTGTCGATTTTAGGGACGCTGGACCTTTGACCAACAGGACGTTCTCTGTCGCGGGCCGGGGCCGGGGCAGCCATCCTTCCGGGCGGAGGGTTCCCTGGATCCCCTCCCCTCCCGCCCACACTCCGGGCGCAGAGCCGGGGGTCACGCACCTTAAATTCCCCCCGGTGACCCCTCCCGGCCTCGCTGCCGCCTCTCCATCCGGCAGGGATCTCTGTCCCCTCCACCGAGCCTCTCGCTCCTCCTCCTCCTACCTTCTCCTCCTCTTTCTTCTCCTCCTCTTCCTCCTACCTCCTCCTCCTCCTCTTCCCAGAGCGCATTCCAGCCCATCCATCCCTGGGAATTGAGCTTCCCCCCCCCTCTCTGCAGCCGCACGCCCGCCCGGGGCGAGGCCGCGCGGCGGCAACGCCGCAGCCCCTTCCTTCCCTCCCGCTCCCGGCATCCCGGCAGGATTCTTTGGGAGCCTCAGCTGCCCGTTAGGATGCTGCCTCCTCCCCCTCGGCCCGACAGAAGCCCCTTGGTCAAACCGTGCCTTGTCTTCTTATTCCATCCACGACTAGAAACGCTCTCAGTCACCGACTCCCCGGACGTTCTGGACAGGCAGAAATGCCTTGCTGCCTTGGCGTCTCTGCGCCACGCCAAGTGGTTCCAGGTTTGCATTTTGTTCTTATATTTATCTTTAAGTAGAAACATTGGTAAACTCTTTTAAGGGGCTGAGTGTTTTTCGGAGCTGGAGTGGCCGCTCGGAGGTGCCGGACTTAGCGGCTGTGGGCGGCACAGCTGCTAAAGAGGCGCCGCGGTGACACGTTAGGAGCCTTTTTTTGTTTTTGGTACGGAGCAGCCGCGGAGCTGCTGCTTTGTGTGAGGAGTCAGGTCGGCGTGGCCGTGCCCTCGGCTTGGTGTGGCCGTGCCCTCAGCTCGGCCGTGCCCTCGGCGTGGCCGTGCCCTCGGCTTGGTGTGGCCGTGCCCTCGGCGTGGCCGTGCCCTCGGCTCGGCCGTGCCCTCGGCGGCTCCGGGCGCGGCTCCGGGCGCGGAGCTCCTCCGGCTTTCCCCTCGGCAAAGCAGCACCTCGAGAGGGACTGGACGGCGCGGGCGGGCGCGCTCGGTGAATCCCTCTGTGGTTTCGGTTCCGCTTCCAGGCCAGGGCCAACGGGCTGAAGTCGTGCGTCATCGTGATCCGAGTGCTGCGGGACCTCTGCACCCGCGTCCCCACCTGGGCCCCGCTCCGAGGATGGGTAATTCCCTCCCTTCTCCCGTTCCCAGGGGGTGGGAGGGGGGGTGGCAGCGTTTCTCCGAGCTGAAGGTCAGCTCTCCTCTTTCCCAAGTTTCCAAGGCACGGCCCCTTTCCCAAGTTTCTACGGATGAGCGACGTGTCCGCCCTTAGAGGCACAGAGCGGGCGTTGTGCGGTGCCAGTCAGCCACCAGCACAGTGTTAATTGGCTTATCAATGACCCACCACATTGTTAATTGCCTTATCAATGACCCACCACATTGTTAATTGGCTTATCAATGACCCACCACATTGTTAATTGGCTTATCAATGACCCACCACATTGTTAATTGGCTTATCAATGACCCACCACATTGTTAATTGCCTTATCAATGACCCACCACATTGTTAATTGGCTTATCAATGACCCACCACATTGTTAATTGGCTTATCAATGACCCACCACATTGTTAATTGCCTTATCAATGACCCACCACATTTTTAATTGCCTTATCAATGACCCACCACATTGTTAATTGGCTTATCAATGACCCACCACATTGTTAATTGGCTTATCAATGACCCACCACATTGTTATTGGCCTTATCAATTACACTTCACATTTTTAATTGCCTTATCAATTACCCTTTGCATTTTTAATTGCCTTATCAATGACCCACCACATTGTTATTGGCCTTATCAATTACACTTCACATTTTTAATTGCCTTATCAATTACTTTTTGCATTTTTAATTGCCTTATCAATGACCCACCACATTGTTATTGGCCTTGTCAATGACCCATCACGTTTTTGATTTCCCTATTAATGACCCACCACATTTTCGATTGCCTTCTCAATGACCCACCACATTTTTAGTTGCCTTATCAATGACCCACCACACTTTTAATTCCCTTATCAATGACCCACCACATTGTTATTGGCCTTGTCAATGACCCATCGCATTTTTAGTTGCCTTATCAATTACCGTTCACATTTTTAATTCCCTTATCAATGACCCATTGCATTTTTAATTGCCTTATCAATGACCCCCCACACTGTTAATTGCCTTATCAATGGTCACTGCCATTACTTGCTTCAGCAGTTATTCACTCAGGTTGGTATCAAATTGCTTTATTGATTACCTACTCACATCATTATCCAATTGCTTTATCAATTACCCGTTCCTGTTATTATCAAATTGCTTTATCAGTTATCAACCCACGTTATTATTGAGCTGTTTTCTCAGTGGCTAAACCACGTTATTATCAAAACATCTTATCAGTTATCAAATCCCGGTGGTGGGGGTTTTATCAGCTGTAAAATCTCGTTAACAGCAGATTGTTTTATCAATTATCAAACCACGCCATTGTCGTTGGCAAGTGGCTTTATCAGTTATCAAATATCAATTATCAAGTCACATTATTGTCAAATAATTTCCATTAGTTTCCAAGTCACATTATCAAATAGTTTTATCAATAAGTATCAATTATTTTAATGGCATTATTACAAAATATTTCTGTCGGTTATCAAGTCATGTTATCAAATAGTTTTATCAGTTATCAAATAATTTTATCAGTTACCAAACCAGGCCGTTCTCAGATCGCATTAGCAACTTGTTCTATCAATTATCAATTAATTATCACCTTAACCCATTGTTGTATCAGTTATCAAACAGCCTGGTACCATCAGCTCGTTGTATTAATTATTTAATCACGTTGATATCAAACTGTTTTTACCAATTCCCGATTTCCACAGCCTGACTCCTCTCCTGCTCTGGGAACTGGAAGCTGCTCCCTGCTGGGTCCCTTTCCTGGAGTCCCTTTCCTGGGTCCTTTTCCCATGGTCCCTCTCCCAGGATCCCTCTCCGGGGTCCCTCTCCTGGGATTCCTCACCCTGGATCCCTCTCTGGGGTCCCTCTCTGAGGTCCCTCACCCGTGATCCCTCTCTAGGGTCCCTCTCCCAGGATCCCTCTCCGTGGTCCCTCTCCTGGGATTCCTCTCCCAGGATTCCTCTCCCAGGATCCCTCTCTGGGGTCCCTCTCCCAGGATTCCTCTCCCTGGATCCGTCTCTAAGGTCCCTCTCCCAGGATCTTTCTCTGAGGTCCTTCTCCCAGGATCCCTCTCTGGGATCCCTCTCCCCGGATTCCTCTCCCAGGATCCTTCTCTGGGGTCCCTCTCCCAGGATTCCTCACCCAGGATCCCCCTCCCAGGATCCCTCTCCTGGGATTCCTCACCCAGGATCCCTCTCTGGGGTCCCTCTCCCAGGTTTCCTCTCCGGGGTCCTTCTCCCAGGTTTCCTCATCCAGGATCCCTCTCTGGGGTCCCTCTCCCAGGATCCCTCTCTGGGATCCCTCCCCTGGAGTCCCTCTCCAGGGTCCCTCTCCCAGGATCCTTCTCCGGGGTCCCTCTCCCAGGATCCCTCTCTAAGGTCCCTCTCCCAGGATCCTTATCCGGGATTCTTCTCCCAGGATCCCTCTTGGGGGTCCCTCTCTAGGATTTCTCACCCAGGATCCCTCTCTGGGATCCCTCTCCCGGAGTCCCTCTCCCAGGATTCCTTTCTGGAGTCCCTCTCCCAGGATCCCTCTCTCAGGATTCCTCTCCCAGGATCCCTCTCTGGGATCCCTCTCCAGGTCCCTCTCCCAGGATTCCTCTCCAGGTCCCTCTCCCAGGATCCCTCTCCCAGGATCCCTCTCTGGGATCCCTCTCCAGGTCCCTCTCCCAGGATTCCTCTCCAGGTCCCTCTTCTGGGGTCCCTCTCCCAGGATCCCTCTCTGAGGTCCCTCTCCAGGGTCCCTCTCCCAGGATCCCTCTCCAGGGTCCCTCTCCCAGGATTCCTCTCCAGGTCCCTCTCCCAGGATCCCTCTTCTGGGGTCCCTCTCCCAGGATTCCGTTCTGGAGTCCCTCTCCCAGGATCCCTCTCCAGGGTCCCTCTGTGAGGTCCCTCCCAGAGTCCCTCTCCCAGGATTCCTTTCTGGGGTCCCTCTCCAGGTCCCTCTCCAGGTCCCTCTCCCAGGATCCCTCTCCAGGATCCCTCTTCTGGGGTCCCTCTCCCAGGATCCCTCTCTGGGGTCCCTCTCCAGGGTCCCTCTCCCAGGATCCCTCTCCAGGGTCCCTCTTCTGGGGTCCCTCTCCCAGGATCCCTCTCCAGGATCCCTCTTCTGGGGTCCCTCTCCCAGGATCCCCCTCCAGGGTCCCTCTGTGAGGTCCCTCCCAGAGTCCCTCTCCAGGTCCCTCTCTGGGTCCCTCTCCCAGGATCCCTCTCCAGGGTCCCTCTTCTGGGGTCCCTCTCCCAGGATTCCTTTCTGGGGTTCCTCTCCCAGGATTCCTTTCTGGGGTCCCTCTCCCAGGATCCCTCTCTGGGGTCCCTCTCCCAGGGTCCCTCTCCAGGTCCCTCCCAGAGTCCCTCTCCCAGGATTCCTTTCTGGGGTCCCTCTCCCAGGATCCCCCTCCAGGGTCCCTCTCCCGGGGTCCCTCCCCCGGGCTCGCCGTGCCCTCCCTCACGCCCGTCCTTGCCTTGCAGCCGCTGGAGCTGCTGTGTGAGAAGTCCATCGGGACGGCCAACCGGCCCATGGGCGCGGGCGAGGCGCTGCGCCGGGTGCTGGAGTGCCTGGCCTCGGGCATCGTCATGCCAGGTGAGCCGCCCCGGCCGCCCTTCCCGCCGGGAAGCGGCGCCGGGAGGAGCACGGGGGGTGACGCGGCGACCGGGCAGCCCCTCGCGGTCTGGGCGCGCCGGGAACCGTCCCCGCCCTCGGGACGCCGGCTCAGAGCCTCCTCAGCCCCGTAGAGAGAGGGAGGGACCGCTCGGCTCCCGGAGAGGTCGGGAGCAGCTTCCCGCAGAGTGTCCGTGGAAACGAGCCCGGGGAGTCCCGCCCAGAGTGCCGGACCGTGGCCGGCCGCGCTCTCGGAGCGTTGTCGCCGCCCCAGGGACTTTAGTTCAGTCGCTTTAGAGAGACCCGGGATAATTCTCTGCATATCTTCCTTGTTTCCTGCCTTCAGATGGTTCTGGTATTTATGACCCTTGTGAAAAAGAAGCCACTGATGCTATTGGGCATCTAGACAGACAACAAAGGGAAGATATCACACAGAGTGCTCAGGTATAGTGTGACCTCCAGACCTTGCGGAATTCCCCGGCTCGCCCGCCGCTCCCGGCCCCGTTGGCCAACGTAGACTAGTGCCCCGTGGCCGCCGGTGGCCGAGCCCGGGCCGCCCGCACGGGCCCCACGGGGCGCGGAGCTTGGCCTGAACCAGAGCAAAGAATCAGGTGTTGAGGAGTGACTTGCCCCACCGCCCCCCCCCGGCCCCCATTTTTGGGTTAAAGCCCCCAGAAACGGTCAATCCAGAGAGTCCCGCGAAGGGCTGAGGATCGGTGTGAGGGCGGGCGGGGGCTGCGGGCGGCGGGTCCCCCGTGGCCCCCCGGCTGACGGCCCGTCCTCTCCCCAGCACGCGCTGCGGCTCGCCGCCTTCGGCCAGCTCCACAAGGTCCTGGGCATGGACCCCCTGCCCTCCAAAATGCCCAAGAAACCAAAGAACGAGAACCCAGTCGATTATACTGGTACGTACTGGGAGGGGAGGGGACGGCCCCCGACCTCCCTCCCGGCTCGGGGTGGGGAGCAGAGCTTTGAGGGGCTGCCTGTGCTGGTCCCCCACAGTCCAGATCCCGCCCAGCACCACCTACGCCGTGACCCCCATGAAGAGGCCGATGGAGGAGGACGGGGAGGAGAAATCCCCCAGCAAGAAGAAGAAGAAGATTCAGAAAAAAGGTATTGAGTTAACGAGAGGTAGGTACAGACGGGTGGGAATGGGGGCACGGGGGGGTGGGAATGGGGGCACAGACAGGGGGAATGGGGGCACAGACAGGTGGGAGTGGGAGCACAGACACAGGGGAATGGGGGCACAGGGAATGGGGGCACAGACAAGGGGGAATGGGGGCACAGGGAATGGGGGCACAGACAGGTGGGAATGGGGGCACAGACAGGGGGGGAATGGGGGCACAGACAGAGGGGAATGGGGGCACAGACACAGGGGAATGGGGGCACAGACAGGTGGGAATGGGGGCACAGACAGAGGGAATGGGGGCACAGACAGAGGGGGAATGGGGGCACAGACAGGGTGGGAATGGGGGCACAGACAGGGGGAATGGGGGCACAGACAGGGTGGGAATGGGGGCACAGACAGAGGGGAATGGGGGCACAGAGGGATGGGAATGGGGGCACAGACAGGTGGGAATGGGGGCACAGACAGAGGGGAATGGGGGCACAGACAGGTGGGAATGGGGGCACAGACAGAGGGGAATGGGGGCACAGATAGGGGGGAATGGGGGCACAGACAGGGGGGAATGGGGGCACAGACAGGTGGGAATGGGGGCACAGACAGAGGGGAATGGGGGCACAGACAGGTGGGCTCAGGGGTACAGGACCTTGGGTGTTTCAGGGCTCTAAATAGGGGTGAGGGGATTGATAAAAGAACTTGAAACTGGGAGGTTTGTGCTGGTAAAACTGAGACCAAGGAGATCAGAAATTGTCTGGAATTGGAAAATACCACCAGGAACTGGTCTGGGATCAGAAAATACTGATCAGGGATGGTCTGAAGTGGGAAAATACGGGTCAGGACTGGTCTGGAATTGGAAAAGACCAATGGGAACTGGTCTGAAATGGGGAAAGAGTGATTGGAACTGGTCTGAGATAAGAAAATACTGATGGGAACTGGTCTGAATTGGAAAAGACCAATTGGAATTGGTCTGGAATGGGAAAAGACCTGTTGGAACTGGTCTAGGATGGAAAAAGACCTGTGGGAACTGGTCTGGAATGGGAAAAGACTGATGGGGACTGGTCTGGAATGGGAACAGACCAATGGGAATTGGTCTGGAATGGGAACAGACCCATCAGAACTGGTCTGGAATGGGAACAGACCCATCAGAACTGGTCTGGAATGGGAACAGACCAATAGGAACTGGTCTGGAATGGGAACAGACCAATGGGAACTGGTCTGGAATGGGAACAGACCAATGGGAACTGGTCTGGAATGGGAACAGACTAATAGGAACTGCTCTGAGTTGGGAAAGATTGACAGGAACTGGTCTGGAATGGGAAAAGACTGATGGGAACTGGTCTGGAATGGGAACAGACCCATCAGAACTGGTCTGGAATGGGAACAGACCAATAGGAACTGGTCTGGAATGGGAACAGACCAATGGGAACTGGTCTGGAATGGGATCAGACCAACGGGAACTGCTCTAAATTGGAAAAGATTGGCAGGAACTGGTCTGGAATGGGAAAAGACTGGCCTGGGAGTGGCAAAGGCCCATCAGGGCCGCTCTGAGATAAAAGATCACCAATTGCACCCGGTCCAAACCCGGGAACTGCCGGCCGGGGATCGCTTTTGGGTCCCGTCGGGCAGCCGAGCGCCCGCCAAGCGCCGCCTGGGTTCTTCCCCCAGAGGAGAAGCTGGAGCCGCCGCAGGCCATGAACGCCCTGATGAAGCTGAACCAGCTCAAGCCGGGGCTGCAGTACAAGCTGGTGTCCCAGACCGGCCCCGTGCACGCCCCCATCTTCACCATGTCCGTGGAGATCGACGGCAGCACCTTCGAGGCCTCGGGGCCCTCCAAGAAGACGGCGAAGCTGCACGTGGCCGTCAAGGTGAGAGGGGGAGCGGGAAAACCCCGGGAAAGCCCCGGGATGGGGCGGGAGCAGCTCGGCCCCGGGTGGGGAGGGGTGGAAATGGGGGCACAGGCGGGTGCGGGGCTGGAAGTGGGGGCACGGACAGGCGCGCCCGTGGGATTCGGGGAGCGCCCGTGGGATTCGGGGAGCGCCCGCGGGATTTGGGAATGCCGAGCGCCGGGGTCTGGTGGGTGGGGCAGGCAGGAGCCCCTGGAGCCGAGCAAGGCCCCTGACCCCGCTCTGCCTCTCCAGGTGTTGCAAGACATGGGGTTACCCACCGGAGTGGAAGGCAAAGACTCCGGGAAGGGCGACGAGTCGGCGGAGGAGACGGAGCAGAAGCCGGTGGTCGTCGCTCCTCCGCCCGTCGTCGAAACGGTGTCGACGCCCACGGCGGCCTCGCCCCCGGCAGATCAGACCCCCGAGGTGAGCACAGCGGGGGGGACACAGCCTCGGGGTGGGGACACGGCCTCGGGGGGTGGGGGGACACGGCCTGGGGGTGACCGTTGGTTCTCCGGGTCGCGGGTAAAACCTGAGGCAGACGTGGCTTCGTGGCGTCGCTTCCCAAAGGATGTGTCAAAGGGAGAAGCAGCTCCGGGCCCGCTGGGGGTTTCTTCTGGGGGTTCAGCCGCCCTTCTCCCCTTGCAGAACGTGAAGCAGCAGGGACCAATCCTGACAAAGCACGGGAAGAACCCCGTGATGGAGCTGAACGAGAAGCGGCGCGGGCTGAAGTACGAGCTGATCTCGGAGACAGGCGGCAGCCACGACAAGCGCTTTGTCATGGAGGTGAGGAGGGGGCACCTGGGCTCCATCCCCTTCCCAGGAGCTCGGATCATCCCATCCAGGGCGGGTCGGGTGGGAAAAGAGCTTGGGAAGCCCCCTCATCCCACCTTCCCAGGAGTTTAAACCTTCAAACCCAAGTGGTTCGGGTTGGGAAAGACCCTTCAAAGCTCATTAATGGGCCGGGGGGCAGAGCCTCATCCAGCCTCACCCGGAGTGCTCCCAGCTCTGGGATTGCCCATAGGCACCATAGAAATGCTTCATTTTCCCAAGTGGCCCCATCTTTTGGTGCCCTTTCCCGCTGACCCGGGCGGTTTCCTCCCTTCCCAAGGTGGAGGTGGACGGGCAGAAGTTCCAAGGCGCCGGCTCGAACAAGAAGGTGGCCAAGGCCTACGCGGCGCTGGCCGCGCTGGAGAAGCTGTTCCCGGACGCTCCCGTGGCCATCGAGCAGAACAAGAAGAAAAGAGCCCCCGTGCCAGCCAGGGGGGGCCCCAAATTCCCAGTCAAAGTGAGTAAATCCCCACCTCCACGGCTCTGGGGCGCAGCTCGGGGGGTCGGCGGCTCCGGCTCCGGGGTCTGATCCCTTCCTGGGGCTGGGAGTGGGGTACAGACAGGTGGGGAGAGGTGGATCTTGGGGCTTGCGATCCCAAAGCCCCTCAGGTTTTGTGGCGAACACCCTCCGGGTTCGGGGGCTCCCCAGTTCCCGGTCCCACCCCCGCGGCTCCGGGTGTTCCCCTCCGGTTTCCCGGAGGTGTTCTGGGAGGCTCTGGGTGACACCTCCGTCCTCTCTGTGTCTCTCTGTGCCCTCAGCAGCACAACCCGGGGTTCGGCATGGGGGGCCCCATGCACAACGAGGCCCCCCCGCCCCCCAACATGCGCGGCCGCGGCCGGGGCGGAAACATCCGGGGCCGCGGGAGAGGCCGGGGCGGCTTCGGCGGCAACCACGGCGGCTACATGAACACAGGTGAGGGCCAGACCCCCCCAGGGAGTGATACCCCCCCAGGGAGTGATACCCCCCTCTGGCATCCTGTCTGCAGCACCTGGAGGGGCCAGAACATCCCAGATGGGAATGATCCCCCTCTGGAACTGTGTCCAGAACACTTGGGGGGGCCAGAACATCCCAAACGGGAATGATCCCCCTCTGGAACTGTGTCCAGAGCACCTGGATGGGCCAGAACATCCCAGATGGGAATGATCCCCCTCTGGAACTGTGTCCAGAGCATTTGGGGGGGCCAGAACATCCCAAACGGGAATGATCCCCCCTCTGGAACTGTGTCCAGAGCACCTGGATGGGCCAGAACATCCCAAATGGGAATGATCCCCCCTCTGGCACCTGGATGGGCCAGAACATCCCAAATGGGAATGATCCCCCCTCTGGCACCTGGATGGACCAGAACATCCCAAATGGGAATGATCCCCCCTCTGGCACCTGGATGGGCCAGAACATCCCAAATGGGAATGAACCCCCCTTTGGCACCTGGATGGGCCAGAACATCCCAAATGGGAATGAACCCCCCTTTGGCATCCTGTCTGCAGCACCTGGAGGGGCCAGAACATCCCAGATGGGAATGATCCCCCTCTGGCATTGTATCCACACCACCTGGATGGGCCAGAGCCCCCCAAAACAGGGGGATTGATCTCCCCCTCTGGCATTGTGTGCAGAGCACCTGGATGGGCCAGAATTCCCCCCAACCCCCCCCATTTGGGAATGACCCCCCCCACTGGCTCCTCCCAATCCCTGTTTTATTTATTCCCACGTTTTCTGCCGCTGCAGGGGCCGGGTACGGGAGCTACGGCTACGGAGGGAATTCCGCCACCGCCGGCTACAGTAAGTGGTTGTTGTGAGGAGTGTTGGGATAGAAGGGAAAAATCCAGGAACGGTGATGGGGGAGAGCTCAACTTCCAGCTGTGTGGTGGGAATCATCCCCCCCCTCGCTCCGGAGTCCCCAGTGCTCCTGCTGGATCCAAATCCGGCCGTTTTCCCCCTGGGAATGGCCCCAGGGGACTCTGCTCACGTCCGGCTCCAGCCCCGGAGGCGACTTCGTTCCGGAGCCTCGTGTCCGCGCCAGGAAATCGGGATTTGCTGCGGAAGAGGAATAAAAAACCCGCCGTGGAAAAAGGGGGACGTGGGGGAGAATCGAGGAAACGAGCCCGAAATAACGGATCCCGCTAAAATCCAGGTGCCTCCAGGGGCTCTGGGAAACCCAACCATGGAGCGTGGGGGCGGAGCCGGGATCCGCCGTGGGTCGTCCCGGTCCTTTCACGCGGAATTCCGGGAGCGAAGCCCGCGGGATTTCACTCTTGGGCTCCTTTTCGACCAAATCTCCCCCGTCTCTCTCTCCGGATCCGGGGCGTCAGTTGGGTTCTGGTGGCTTTCGTTCCTCCAAAGGAAGTTTAGTTTGGGACGTGCCCAGTTTTCTGTGGAACGAGGGCTCCCCGAAGTTCGGGAATCGGGCGGGGAAGGAATCACTTGGGGAGCTTGGCTGTGGAACCCTCCACCCGTGGAATTAGCCCCGGATTGACTCCGATCCCGGATGGAATCACCGCAATTCCCAGAAGATAAACCGTGGAGCCGCGGAGTCTTTGTTCCCGTGGGATTCCTGCAGACCCAGGCGGGGATGTCGGTGTCGTTCCTCATCCCAGGAACGGGATTATCCCTTGTTTTGGAGCGTTCCTGGCTCGGCCTGGACGGAGTTTGGGCTTTGGAGTCGCTGCAGAGAATCGAGAGACGCGCGGGAGCGACGCGCTGGGGCCCTGGGACGGGGCTGGATGGGGGTCCTGCTGGAATCATGGGGGTCCTGCTGGAATCATGGGAATCCCATTGGAATCACGGGGATCCTGCTGGAATCATGGGAATACTGCTGGAATCATGGGAATCCTGCTGGAATCATGAGGGTTCTGCCAGAGTCATGGGGGTCCTGCTGGAATCACGGGAGTCCCACTGGAGTCATGGGGGTCCTGCTGGAATCATGGGAATACCGCTGGAATCATGAGGGTCCTGCCAGAGTCATGAGGGTCCTGCTGGAATCATGGGGGTCCTGCTGGAATCGTGGGAATCCTACTGGAATCGTGGGGGTCCTGCCAGAGTCATGGGGGTCCTGCCGGAGTCATGGGGGTCCCATTGGAGTCATGAGGTCCCATTGGAGTCACAGGGGAATCATGGGAATACCGCTGGAATGATGGGGGTCCCACTGGAATCATGGGAATCCCGCTGGAATCATGGGGGTCCTGCTGAAGTCACGGGGATCTTTGGGGGGGTCTCTCTGGAGGGTCTGGGAGGGCCGGACCCTGGTGTGAGGCCGATGGATGTGGCACTGGAAGCACCGGGACCTCATCCTGCCCCTCACCGGTGCCGGCACACGCCAGGAGTGGCAGTGGGATTGGGATTGGCAGCGGGATCGGGATCAGGAGTGGCAGCGGGATCGGGATTGGGATTGGCAGTGGGATCAGGATCAGGAGTGGCAGTGGGATCGGGATTGGGATTGGCAGCGGGATCGGGATCAGGAGTGGCAGCGGGATTGGGATTGGCAGCGGGATTGGGATCAGGAGTGGCAGTGGGATCGGGATTGGGAGCGGCAGTGGGATCGGGATCGGCAGCGGGATCGGGATCAGGAGTGGCAGTGGGATCGGGATCGGGAGCGGCAGTGGGATCGGGATTGGCAGTGGGATCGGGATCAGGAGTGGCAGTGGGATCGGGATCAGGAGTGGCAGTGGGATCAGGATCAGGAGTGGCAGTGGGATCGGGATCAGGAGTGGCAGTGGGATCGGGATCAGGAGTGGCAGCGGGATTGGGATCAGGAGTGGCAGTGGGATCGGGATCAGGAGTGGCAATGGGATTGGGATCGGGATCGGTGCTCTGACCCCTGACACTCCTCTCTCTGTCCAGGCCAGTTCTACAGCAACGGCGGCCACTCCAACTCGGGGGGCGGCGGCGGCGGCGGCTCCTCGGGCTACGGCTCCTACTACCAGTCCGGCGACGGGTACACGGCGCCGGCGCCGCCCAAGCACGGCGGCAAGAAGCAGCAGCACGGCGGGGGCCAGAAGGCCTCCTACGGCTCCGGGTACTCGGCCCACCAGGGCCAGCAGCCCTACGGGCAGGGCCAGTACGGCGGCTACGGCCCCGGGCAGGGCAAGCAGAAGGGCTACGGCCACGGCCAGGGCGGCGGCGGCGGCTACTCCTACTCCAACTCCTACAACTCGCCCAGCGGCGGCTCCGACTACAACTACGAGAGCAAATACAGTGAGTGCGGCGGGAGGGAGGGAGGGAGGGAGGGAGGGGTGGGTGGGTGGGTTGGTGGGTGGGTGGATGGAGGGATGGATGGGTGATGGATGGGTGAGTGGATGGGTGGAGGGATGGATGGGTGAGTGGATGGATGGATGGGTGGATGGAGGAATGAATGG